TTTATTCCTCATACAGTATTCAAACATTTTCTCTTACGCTGAAGGTATACTATAATTGCATTGGGTTGATATGACTGATAAGTTCGACAGCATATGTCAACTTGAAATGCTAGAAAAATAAAACTCGATGGCATATAAGCATTCTGTACCGCGCCACGCGCATAAGAAAAATCTGTACTTGTAATTGGACATACTTTCCGATGACATCATTTTCTCTTGGCGTAATGACGTTTAGGTGGGATTCATACGGTTTTGTTTTCGTTGAATGACGCGCATGAGTGACACGGAAGTCTGGAAATTATCGTTTATTTTCTTTGAAACGAAAAAAATTAATCACAGCGTTCTGCATATGACTTATTGTTTCATGGAATAATAAAATTATAAAATATTTCAAAGACGCTGTTAATATCAGAAGCAATCTTAAAGGCTTAGATTATTTTTCATGAATTTAGTGCAAAAACCCAAACATGACGATCTCGGGCCAATTATAAAGGTATTGTGTGCTAGTAAGTATATTGTCATTATTGCAATATGTTGCATTCTGTTCCTTTACATTGCAGAAAATATTTCGTCTGCAAATATTACGTTATTTCCATGTTAACGTTCATGTCATTTCTCAATTTCCTGTTGCCTTAAATGAAAGAAAAAGCGCATTCAGTATTGTCCCTGAATTTGATGTATGTGAATAAGAAAAGAAACTTCCTTCTCTGATAAACACTAATTTTATGCAAAGGTATAAAAGATGTTACACATTGAAAAATGGACAATATTCATAAAGTAATATTTTTAAGTTTTAAATACGTATCTCTGTTTCTCTGTTCCAAATCTATGTTAGTCTAACTTCACAAATAAATTTTACTTTTTCAGACTGATTACAATTATTTTGAATTTACTGTATACTATGTTAGCTCCCAACGTCGTTTTTGCTACTTCCGAAAACTGACTTGTCGCATGTTTTAGGAGATTGCATCTGCAGAAAATAGATATTTAATGAACATGAAATAACGATAACAACACCTTTAACATGAAGTCTTTAAAATTAAGAATACATTTATTAACAATCTCTGTACTTAATACACATTTACGGCATTAGCACAAGAAGAAATAACACTTTCTCTGTCTAAGAAAAAAAATCACTACATTTTATATCGAATTCGCCACACTAAGCACTTAGTTCGCCACACTAAGTGTAATCTCATAGCAACAAAAATACAACGCACGTAATAATCTTTTTGGTACTGCTATCAAAATTTAAACAAACGTATGGAGGTATACCAAAGTCAAGGCATTCCTAAGCGTTGAGGAAATGATGTCATCGGAAACCATATCCAGTCACGAGGAGGAATTTTTCCCTATATGCGTGGCGCGGTACAGAATGCTTATATGCAACTCGATGCTTAGTTAATCAAAGTAGACTTTCTCGGCATTCGCACACTTTTGTCGTTAGTTTTCCAGTAGCTGGAATAATTGACATACAGATGGGGCCTGTGATGTGAAGATATTGTCAGTTGTAAATGATCCCCTTTGCCATTAGCTAAATTTTATTGGCTAAGAATGGGAGAGGATGATGAAAGAGCAGATAACTATTGAGGGATGCCATAAGAATATGGCAGATGAAGAAGGATATCGTACTGCAATTTCTTGAATATTTGTACTGTACCTTGTACAACATATGAGAGTTTATAGTTATGTTGCATGAGGACATGATATCCGTTCGTCGTTTTTGGATATCTGAAGGCATACTGATTTTGAATTTCATGTACTTTAGCCTTGATACTTCAGGTACGACGAAGGAAGAGGCAATGAATCATTCCAACATTGGAACATCTTGAAATCAGCAGCATCTTTTGTGGGTGAAGAGAACGGTTAGTTAATGCTCATCTCTTTGTCACAATCCATCCATTGTTGATCGTTTATGGGTGTCATGCTGTATAAATTTTTTATCCTGTGACAATCCAGTGGTATTTTCTTGCAATTTATTCCTCAGAAAAAGCGAACTGCTTACTTCTCGACGGCGTGCTTTCTCGACCGCTATCAACTCACATTACCAGTGGCGTGGAGGGGGCAAACAACAATAGTTTGATATACGTATACGAAGCCTGCTAAAATAGCAAAAACATTTTATTGTGAATTAGATTCAACGATATTCTTCCGGGCTTGATATGAATTTTGCACCGTTCGGTGACAACAGGGCTCCTTTTCGAGTGTTATATCCCGAGAACTTGATGCACCACCGGCGTAAGATGCGTTGATTAGTTAGGTAACTGGGCTAATCGTGATGTTAATGTTTCATGCCACAAGTCCTACGGAATGTTCCAATTTCAATTTATACTCAGTGCTGTGTGTTCTTTGTGGCTCACGTTGACGATGTTCTCTTGAACAGTTGTTTCACCCATTGATGTCTTTGGTACTTTGATTGCCTGCTGTGCTGACTTGCAGTGATGTGACGTAGCACACATGTCGCTAAATTAATATTTGTGGCCTGGGAAGTTACGTTTCCACCGTACTTATACTTGAAGACTTGTGCTGACTCAATAGATTGAACATTAAAATGCATCTGAAATCTTTCCCTGTGCAATAAGTGTTTCTTAAAAAAGTGGTTTTTATTTTGTAAATAATTCGAATGTAAGCTTTTATGTTGAACAATAAAATACTTACACGAACTTTTAATTAAAGAAATAATTAAAACTTTAAATGTTATTAATGAAAACTTTTGTTTACATTAATTTAAAGTTTCATGGTCATTTATTTACAAAAGGGCTAATTATGCAAGAATTTGCATCTAATTCTGGGTTATACTCTAATATGAACTCTCATGCTTTCTCGTGATTATAAGTCTTTATCTTCTGATGAATAGTTAACACTGGCGCTTCTATACCGTTAATGATTTTTAAATTAGATAAGGTAGCTAGAGAAATATTTTTACCTTAACACGTTATAACAAGCTAATAATCCAAAATAATTTTAATAAGGTACTTTAATGAATTATATGCTTTCAGAAAATGTAGTAAAGAAACAAATATTTTAAATTATATCATTGCCCTATAAAATTATTCTTGAACACAGGACCTTTTTGAGAAATTTTTTTAACGTGAAGTGCCCGCATATCTTAATTCTAGGAGATGGTTTCGAATTCTGATGCAGTATCCCGTTTAATAATCTGTTTTGGGGCATATCCCGAATTCAGTAAATAGATTCGGAATTTTTAAAATAATCGTTATGAATTTTGCTAGCTCTGTCTCACATGAGCATGGAGACATTTTTGAGGGATCTAAATACGTATATGTTCACTACAGAAATAATCGTGGCTTCTAGATACGCGTTTTAGAAAATTCTCACCACGTGTTGAAACAAATAATTGCTGTTTTTTGTTCCGTGTTTGGTATTATCATATATGTATATTACCATTAATGCGCCTGTTATGTAGAACAGAGCGAAAAAGGTTTAACGTTTGTAAGGAAATATTTTGACGAAGCAAAAATATTCTATTAACAGAATATTTAAAAAGGATGTGTAACAGTCTTAAACATTTCTCCGAATATAAATCTGAAGCTGAGCCAATACAGATCGATATTTTTCCAATTGTTGGAGTAATTATATTTTCTTCAGATCTATAGTATTAATAAATGAACTGTGCTTACCAGAAATAATGCAGCAATAGAACATTATTTCAATAAAATAACGTATGCTTTATTGGAATAGCTCAACCAAATGCGGACGTTTTGAAATTTACATTGATGTTAACATGAAGCGTAAATAATGCTGCAAAATGTTACAGTGCGAAAAATTGTGTCAGTAGATAAAAAGGAAATGAGGAAATCTTGGAAAAGAAAAGGTACTCAAAACTGTTAAATATAAGGTAATATCCTTCAGAATTGTGATGGTCTTTAGTTACCTGATTGATTGTTATTTACTGGGATGAAGTGTTGATGGACTCAGAATTGTTATGTTAATTGTCTGGAAATATTTGTACATAATTACCGTATTTATTTGGGCCTAATCTTGAGCATTGAAAGGGTAAAATTACAGGGTATTTATTATTTCTAAAAGGAAGGTTATAACGAAGAACGTAGCCAATTAAAAAGCACATACGAATAGATGTACTACTATTCACATTTTAAAGAAGACCATTACAGCTATTATCTTGAACGCTATTATTTTTGCTTATGCAATATTTAAAGTATTTCGTGTACAAGATTATAACATAACAACAAATATTTCTCCATTTATGTACTTATATTTTCAAATGTGTCTAATTATATGTTTTTGTACGAATAGCCTTTATCTTATTACCATTTACTGTAGAAGTTATTGCTTTTTTCCCTCCATCGATGCATCTTAGGCTCACTCATGTCAAAATATCGAGCTGTAACATTGTCCCCTTTTTGTTGCTGTATTTGTTCCAGCTGTAGTGTAAACTTAGAGTATAAAATAACCATCGACACTGATTACTCTTTTCCCAAATATATTTAATTTAGTGGCACCGAATGTGTGAGTTCATCATGACAGCAAAGGTGAATGTGAAATGTATGAAGTGCATGAAATAAGACAAAATGAATATCAAACCATTTTTTTTATCTTAATGCTAGCCTCACATGTGGGTTTTTCTTCGTATTCATAAGCGTAGTTGTGATCCTGTTGTTTTCATCCCCGTAGTTGTGATTCTAGTTTTCGAAATACTTATTATACGGTTTAACAAGTAAGAGTACAACACGTTTTCTACAAATGCTCTGCAGAACACGCATTTTTAACTGATCGAAGAGAAAAAATAAAGGTTTTTTTAATTAGATATAATTGAAATAGCGTTTTCGTTCAAGTGAAAATACTTTATAAGCTAAATTACGTCAGAAAACATTTCTTATAAAAATAAAAAAATAAAAAAACTTAGGAAACCTGCATTAAAACTCTTCATGTGTGTATTTCGCTTAGCGTCAAATTTTATTGTGCTTTTATAAGACTTAATTAATATATATCGTTTAATTTCTTGTTTTTATTTTCAGGCTGGATTAGAAGTAATGGTATGGATCCACGGTGGCTTTCTACAATTTGGAAGTGGTCACCAAAGAGGTTTAAGTCCAAACGGTCATTTAGCTTATCGCCTGAATACAGTATTTGTCTCCTTCAACTTCAGGCTTCATGTTCTGGGGTATTTGGCTCTAGATACACTACTGAGCAATTTTCTTGAAGACAGCAGGGGTAACTACGGTACTTGGGATCAGCTTGTCGCTATGGAATGGATAAGAAACAATATACATTATTTTGGAGGAGATCCAACGAAAGTAAGTATAGCATAAAAGATTCAGTTTCATATGCTAACTTATTTTATACTAAATATGATGTAGTATTGAATGTTAGTTAGAGTTAGTTAGATTAATTGGTAGTCAGTCTTATTTTATACTTCCCTGGCCATGGTGAGTACGTGTCTTACAACATGCTGAGAAGGTATGGAAATTTCATCTGCATTTTTGCTGTCTGATTTATTATGCCAACTTGTACAAGGTTGGGTAGAGATGATTAAAATGTTTAGTTTTATCTTACACCTATTTTGTAAACTGCAAAACATCTCATGATCAAATCAAGTAGAAAATTGGAGAAAGAAAAGAATCGTTAACATACATGAACGTTCTATAAAAAAAACTACTCTCTTTCTATGAAATTTCAACAGGAATTCCAAAAGTTAGTCTGTAAAAAACTCTACATAAAAACTTTATGTATTGCTTTTGAAATGAAAAGTTTCTAAGAACGATATACAGGTATTTTTTATTTGTTTATTTTCTCATAGCTTTGTAAAATGTCTTCTCATATCAAAGTATATGATAATAAAAAATAAACCCACAAACAAATTTATAAGTTTTATAAGCAACAAAATACAATAACTATAACCACTGATGAAATATTGACAAAATATTAGGCTTTTGAGCAACATTTTTTTGTCTTTTTTTCGCTATTGAAAATAGTTACTTTCTTTCCGTAAATACTGTTATTTAGAGCCTTCTTAATTTAGTTGTTATTTAATGAATTTTATAGGAAATAATTAGCTGGTTTCAGTTTTCGCTATACTTAATTTCTTGGATTTTTGCCATATTATTTGTTCAAGACTGTCTTATAAAAAATTGCAAGGTAATCTATATCATCTGATATGAAAGCTGAGCCAAGCATTTTCTGTGTATGGAAATATTATCCTAATATAAGGTAAGCTAAATATGTTTTTTTTTCTCTCTGGAGGTCACAGTGTTTGGACCGGACGGAGGTGCTGCATCTATACTGACTATGATGACTTCTTCCCACTTTCAAAACACATTTCGCAGCGCTTGGCTTCTGGGCCCCGCCTTGGTGTTTAATCGCACTTTTACGGATTCATCTCATCACAATCGTGCACATTTTCTGGAGAAAACTGGTTGTGCAATGGACACGCAGTGTCTTCGCAAAATGACACCGAAGGAAGTGACTGGAGCTTACATTTGGAATGATGACCCATCCTTCCGGATAAGAGATCAAAATGATCTGCCAATTCAAGGAATCTTACCTGAACAGCTCATCGTTGTAGATGGTAAATATAACATTATCATATTTTAAAAGCTGATTTTGTATTTTATAAATTTTCAAGACTCTTTCACTAGATAATGTTTGAAATTTAAAAAAAAAAATGAATCCAAAAATATTGAAGCAAACGCGTAGTTGACTGAAAGAACGCAATTCTTTTAAACGCTTTTCTTTCTATTAGTAAATTTTAATAACAGAGCTTATGAAAGTATAAATTTATATCATTCACTACATCTTCCGAAATAGCAAGAGTAAGTCTAATTTTATACTTTAGAAGTTATTGCATGGAAATAATAGTTTTAGGATTTTTTTTTCGCAAAATACCTTTCCCAAGACAAAGAGAAACTCAGATTCAAGCACCAAAAACATTACTAGTTTTAAGGTAAGAATGCTTTGTAATTCAGAATATGAGGATTTGAAGATGTATAGAGATATAAATACTTATAGTTTTGTCTCTTCTGCTAATTGTAAATAACCATTTAATAGCAAATCTAGAAGAGTGTTTATCGTGTTTTCTGATCATTTTAAATACAGCAGTAAACTGTATTTTCGAATAAATGCATTGGATCTTCCATGTGATGTTTAACATGCTGTACATAATCGTGCATAAATCGATGTCCCGAAAAATCAGTCATTAAATTGAACCTCGACATTTTGCGGGTTAAAATATTTAAGTGGTATATTATGCAGGTAGATTATGTCGTATACATTATATGCATAGATTATACACGTAACTGCTGTTCTTATTATAGTTAGCAATGTATTTTTGTGAAAACAAAATGTTAGGTTAACGAGAGGGATATTTGTAATGAATAAACTTTATTTTGTAAAACAAACATGATAAAAAATTTACATTACCAAGCAAACGAAAAAACAATTACTTTAAAAATAAAATAAAAGAAAAGTATCACTTCAGAAAACAAATGCTAAAATAAACTTTATTCGAAATTTTATCACATTAATCATTATCCTCTGACTCTAAAACCTCATCCTCGCTAATTACCATTTCATCATAGAGATTCCAACCTTTCAATCCATGTTCATGTTCCTTCTCTTCATCACTCGCCCGTAGTGCGTCATCATTTTTGCTGCCCGTCGCATTTAAATTGCACACTTTTTAAACGATTATATTCAGTTTCAACTGTGGTTATTCACCACACGTTTAAAATGAATTACCACAATGTATCTGTTTATGAAGCTAAATAGCTGTAAAATCTGTACATGGTATTTTATCTTGTAACATCTAGTTGTTATAATCGAGTTTTTCGCATTTGATAATAATCGTTATAATCGGGTTTTTCGCATTCACATTCAAAATTATACATTCCGTATGTTATACTATGAAATCAAGCCATGAGATACACGCGAAAGAAATTATACGTCAGCATATATAGTATATTTAATCAAAGCTTCATTATAAAATCGTAGAGTTAATTCTATATTAATTCTATAATTTATGCATCCTTAAATAATTAAGTCTTAGACTATTAATTTTAAAATTTTAACTTGCATATGAAGATTTAATGTTCTCTTTTTAAGCAACTGAAGTTAATCAAAATACAAATAGAATGATAAGTGTTTAAATGAAATTTAAGATGCATGACTTTATCTTCGGTGGGTCTTTCGAAGCGTTGTTTGTATGTTACTTTAAATTCAGGAGTTTCCAGAGGTACAGCAGAGGAAACAATTCGGCAATTATGAATAAAGCGTAATAACAAACGTAACGGTATAGTTGCTGATTTTGTTTTTCAGAATGAGCCCAAGAACAAATACTTCAAGTATTTTACTAATTATGGAAAATTAAGGTGTTATTATAAATTCCGAAGGCTGCTCTATAAAGGCCTAAGTAACAGCTATATCGAGATGCTTCTTCGGGAATTTTATCTGAGAAAGATGAGAGGCTATCTGTTTCTCTAATTAATAAGTACTTGTTCATATAATTCATATAGTTCATATAGTAGTTGTTCATAATGAAGTTCGAAACTAAAGTAGATTCTAGATAATAAAAAGATAAGTCTTAAAATTAAAATTGCCAATGAAATCGAGGCTCTGGCATACCTGATAAATATACTTCAGCTAATTAATTTTTACTAAGGATGAAAATTCCAAAATAACTATTTATGCTCGAACACATTTTACCGTTTACGTCATCTAAATAAAAAATTATTTTCAAGCTATAAATGTTTGGCTGTGGCATGAAATTATTTTTCAGAAAAACGAATAAAACTTCGAAACCTCTTTTAAAACCTAGTTTGGGACTACTTCAGACATAGCGATAACTCGCTATCTTGTATAGTATGTAGGGTCTGCAGGACTTATTTTCAGATCAATTATAACCATACACATTAATCAAAGAAATAGTTAAGTTTCTATTTCACTGCCCTGAATCATGTCGCTAAGCACAGATACAAACACATAAAGGAGAACCGTTCTGCCATTTTTTTTTTTTTTTTTTTTTTGAAGACAACATATGTTGATACGGTACTTTTCCGTTTTGCCGGCGCAAGCGATAAAGTCGCCAATAATGGTACAACCGATGCCAAACGGAATATTCTCGCTGGTAACCTTTTACGCCTCATTTTCAAAACAAGTCGCAGCTTTTTCTTATCAGATTGATTGTTTCTTTTAATACTGGAATATAATTACATAGAATTTTTATCAGATAGTTCAGTTTTATGTCTAAGGCCATTTTCGGTAATTAAGTCAATTAGGATGCAATCACAACTCTTACCCGAAGCCGAAAATATAGAAAAGGAAAGTCAAGGGTTAAATTCATCAATTCTAATGAGAATGCATTAGTGAAGTAAAGCACTGCAGTTTTACATAATTTCTGAGTAAGCTATTCGTACGCATTGAAATATTTCTTGCATTTAAACTTGTGTTCCAAATTAAGATTTAACTTGAAATTCATGTAGATAATTACTGAGAGCATTAGATTTTTGTAGAGTAGTTTACGTGAGATGAGATCGCTTGGGGTCACGTGATATGAACGACGAATCAGAAATGTTGAACCGTGAAAGCATAGTAAATTCTTAAATTAATGTCTTTTTACAAATTTATTGTCTTTATTTATTGGCTTTTTATAAAGTTTTAAGCGATATTAAAATGTTTATGCCTTCAAAAAAAGAATTGTTAAAACTAAAATTTTTTTAATATTTTTTATGGGTATACTGTATGTTGTCGCCAATAAAGTCTGCTTGGCGAGATTTGCGCCGGCGAAACGGAAAAGTACCGTTGATACTCTTCATCCAAGTCAGATATTATGGTTTAATTCTAATGTTTAAATATATCTCAGTGACTTTTTGAATTTATTAAAATTCAAATCTATATTAACAATAGTTAACTAGAAAAGCTCTATGCATTCCCACGAACCTATACCAGACTTCTTTGGCACTGCATAAATATTTATTACAAAAGTAGCTCCCACCTAAACTTTATAAATATTTATATATATTCTCTTCTCTTTATTATTTCGGTAACTTTTTCATTTCAATCAAATGAAAAAAATTATTAATTGAACATTTTCAAGAAACCAGAAGGTAATCTGCGAAACATTTTGAAATTTTTCATAAAACAGTGAAGGAAAATTATGATGCTAATCTCATTCATACATTTCTCATTAACTGAACTAATGAGTTACATTCGATTTAAATTGAGATTTGTCAGTATTGACTATAACTGACTTGGTCTGCATTTATTTGAAGTGAATGACAAAAGATGGTACCTCGCCTAACTCTCCTAACAAATTATACGTCTCGCCTGTGGATAATTCCTATTAGACCTGCAGCGAAGACCCCATTAATTCAATAGCCTTTTACCCAAATGAAAATCCACAGCGCGTCTGCCAGACCGGGATGAATTTCTAGTAAATCATAAAAAAAATACTGAACTATTGCCCAAGCCTTAGGCCTGCACTATGTTAGTTGAGTTTGTTTCTCCTTTATTATATCAAACCGCTCTAAAATGTTAGAGGAATAGTGGAATTTGGCTTAGTAACGTTGATAAAGTTCTGATAAATTCTGCTGAAGATGGGCTGTCAGTTTAGTATTTCAGAACCTTTAATCACGTGAAAGTGTATCGGATAACATTAGCCAAGAAAATGGACTAACACGAAGAGAAAATTTATAGTAAGCGAATTAACTATTTTATAAGAATATTGCTTATTTAGGCCGCTATGAGAAGTTTTATATAATTTAGTCAGAAATTATTTGAAACATCTCTCTTGATAAAATTAATTATTCAATTTCTCTGTAGCTAAAGCAGTAACATAAAAGACCTATTATTGTTAAGAGTCAAAGCGCTAGGATTACGATTCTGTCTAAATGTCTTAGAATTGAAAAAGCCATTTTCAACTGTTTTATGTCTATTAATTACATCAAATATTTCGGCTCAAGTGTTTGTTGTTTTAGAGGAACCTTTAAAATATCCATTTACAATAATCAGCTAGTAAAATAGTGTAACAATGTATCAACTGGATTATTCGTATTTATCTTAATGATCTGATTATAATTATAATATAATTAAAATTTTTAGTTCTTCCTAATATTTGCTGTTTTTCGGAGCTCTAATATAAAATACGCGTTCCCTTCGTATGCCATTCCTTGCATCAATACACCTGTTTGTAAGTATATTATGAGCATAAAATAACTGAGAGCTAATACTGAGTGACTGAAATAACTGAGAGCTAATACTGAGTGACTGAAATAACTGAGAGCTAATACTGAGTGACTGAAATAACTGAGAGCTAATTCTGTGAAAATTCTGAGTATGACTGATATATGCAACTCAGTATATAGCGTTTAAACTGCAGCAATGACTAGAATGGTATGAAATGTAATGGCAATTTAGATACGGAAAAATGAATTTGTAATATTTTGCACTACGTCACTTTTTGCAGCATGCTTCATGTAAAATTTGCTGCAATACGTTTGTGTAAAAATCGCGGTAATACGTTTTTATTTCAGTTCTTTTTCGTTATTAAAAAACATACAGTTGACGAAGAAATCA